AAAAGAAGATGGAAGGAATATACTAGTCACTGTATCAAAAGGAATTGGAAGATACAGAAGAATTTAATGAAATAACATTTGAGCAAGAGCCTATGGTGATGAAGGAAGAAGTTCAAGCTGCTTTGAAGGAAAAAGCAAAAAATAAGGCCCCAGGAATAGATTGTATACCAACTGACCTCTAAGTTAGTTTTATTATTGAAGTAAATCAAGAATATTTCAGGGGAGGGATATTTAGACCTAGTAAGTATATTTTATATTGCTCAACAATCATTTCTTACAATGCAAACATCAAAAAAGGTTTCTCAAGACTTCCTTCTTGACTTGGCCGTACCGTGGTTCGCACCTGGGGAAAGAGGGATTATTCTGGCTCCCCAGGGACACTGAGCAACCTGGAGACACAAACCAATGTAAGCCTGGTTCAGGCCACGCTCTCTTCAACCACCTGCGCCACAAAGTTGGACAATGAGTAAGAACGAAAGAAGAACTGATGCCTTTGAGTTGTGGTACTGGAGAAAAATACTGAATATCCCATGGACTGCCAAGAGAACAAAAGGGTCTAATCTAGAGGAGGTGAAATCAGGGTGCTCCACGGGACAAAAACATTATGTAACACCCTATAACCAAGAAGTCTAGGTCAATGTACTAAAGCTTATTAGCCTATGCTGTTGTTATGTGCCATCGAGTCACCTGGGATTCGTAGTCCTGCTCTATCCTGTGCCAATCTCATTGTCTCTGACACATCTGCCCCCATTTCCCTACACACTACATATAAAATACACAATGCCTAGAATGTATTTTTTATCAAATCTGTACTTAATTGTCTGTTTTGGCCTAAGAATAATCCAAAGTAGAAGTCACAAGTATAACTAAAAACTTATGAATTAACTAGAATAGGCCTCTAGGTTCCCGATAAACTCAAACCAGTGATTAGAGCAATCACCTCCTGTGTGATTTAGAACCTCTGAAACCAATGATGAGGCAGCTCCAACTCCATGGTAATGAGCTTAAGTTTAACTCTACATTTGCCCAAGTTACTTCTGTGTGACAGAAACAGGCTTGAAGGTACAGGGGGAAACTGAAGTTCTGAAGCTGGAAAGTCAATGCTACTGCACAGATAAAAATAAAAATGCTGGGTGCTCTGGAAAGTTACAAACAGGAGAATGAACAAAGTCCCCAATATTTACCCCCAAAAAAGGTTATCAGACGCGAATCTGTGTTTTGCGATACAATATATTTTAATGTGATGTGTCTCAAACATTAAGCAATAATTAACAGCAAGATACAAGCTATTAGTTGCTGAGAGAAAGGGAGCAGGGAATTAACAAAGGAGCACACTAACTGCAGCCCAGTTCTGTAATATTCTTAGTCAGTTCAGCATTATGCTTTAGATGTACCCTTCCAGAAAGTTATTTGCAGGAATAAGTCATAAATACAGATTTCATCAAAAGGTTCCCTCTTTTGCTATACATTACTACTGACTCAAGGCACCCAAGCCATGTAAAACCTCAAGCACAATGAAAATTCATCAAAGCCAAGTCTAGTTAGAAGTCGCTTGCTACATTTTCAGCTGAGACACTTCCTGTTTGTATTTCCTAAACAGAAAACTTTGATAAATGAGGATAGTTAGAGAAAGGCTTCAGGCCTTTGGTTCACAGGGTCGCTCTGCGTGATGCTCAACTTGATGGCAATCAACAGCAACATACACAATATATTAAACAACACAGCTCATGAGATACAGAAATGTTCATCTAACTTACAATTTTGTCTGACCCATAGATCTTCTCCAACTGCTCAGCAACTTCCCTTGTTCCATCTGGGCTTCCATCATCTATGATTATAATTTCATAGTTGATTCCACTGAAATGTAAAAAAAGTTAAAAAGGAACTATGAGTTAACACTTGGAGACAGTGTTCAGTGCTCCCAATCAAAAATATTGAATCTGTGCCAAGCAGAATTTCAAATTATCATGACTTTAAACCTCCTGGCATCATGAAAGTTGGATGAACCTGGAAATTACTGCCTTGAGGTAGTATCTTTACACCCTAAGCCAAAAATATCCCCCAAAGGGCTCCTAAAACCAAGCACAAATTTAACTGAGCTCGTGTTAAAAAAAAAAAAAAAGTTTGTGTTGAGCATTATGTTAAAAATTGTGTATGTGGGATTCAAGTGACAAAAGCGACTCCAAGATTAGGTAAGAGCCTTTGGGGCCAATGAGTTGCTGTTAATGGGTGAAACAACTCAGAAAAGGAGCATGGAAATAGTTACACTACTCAAAGAAATGCAATCACCATGTAGTGTATATTCAGCAACTGCTGACCTGTTATGTTTTGCTGTGTATATTCTCAACAATAAATACAATTTAAAAAGAAAACATTTACAATTATTAATTCTTCACCAGGGAGGTCTAGTGGTAAGGAGTTGCACTGCCAACACAAAGGAGCATAGTTTGAATTTACCAGCTACTCCAAGGGAGAAAGATGGGCAGTGTCTCCTCTCATGTGATTTACAGTCTCTAAATACCCACCGGAGGGTTAGCTATGAAGTTTAAAGGAAAGTTTAATTACAGATCAAACAGAATCAAATACTTATTATTGTATATCTAAAATCAGAATGTTGCTGAAAATGTTATTATAGCTATTAAAATATTCTAACACAGAATACATATTCTTTAAAATGTATATATGTATGTGTACACACACACACACACACACACACACATAAAAGCAATGTACGCCATACACTAATATACATTATTACATAAAATATTTACCAATGCTGGACAAAGAGTTGAGTCGTGAAATACGAATATCAAATCTGAGTTGTAAAAGATTTTCCAAAAGCAATTGAAATGGATTGTATTACTCTAAATGCCTATTCTTAAATTTAACCCCAAATAGATTTGAATCATCAGGGACAAAATCTGACTGAATTTTACCCTTTAAAAAAAAATACCCAACCAATTTACAATGATAACGTAAAACAACAGTTACATAAAGATAGATCACAATATTGGCTTTTGCCAGTTATTTCTAAAATCTAAGGTTAGCAGTGCTCAGATTGGTTGGTTGGTGGGTAAACAAACACTCCCTATAGATTCCTGGAGAGTCAGAAAATAGTGAATCTTTTAAGAGAACAATTTGGCAATAACTCTCACTTTTAACTAACTCTGTTGACCTAGCAAATCCCCTGGGAAGATTTTATGCTTGGTGTACTTGCGGGTTTTTTTTACAGGATTCATTTTAGAAAAGGATCATTAAGTATCAAAGCAACTTTCTAAATGCTATAAATAAAGTATGAAAAGAAGTCCCACTCTTCTCTGCAAAGGCAAACTTCCAATACCCGATTTCTTTAATGGTTTAAAAGTACTTGTTAGATTATTCTAGAAGTAACTGATGTCTAATTGGGATAACCTGCTTTAAATAATTAAGAACACAAGCTGCGCTGCAATCTCAAAGGCAAGCAATTCAAATCCATCAGCTGCTCAGGGGGAGAAGGATGGCTTATCTCCTCCTCTGGGATTTACTGCTTCTGGAGGGTGAGCTATGAGTCGGTTCCGACTCCAAGGGAAAACACCACCAATATTGAGATTACTTAAAGGTTTTCTGTTTGTATGTGCTGCTACAGCTGGATCTTCAATGATGTGTACAGTATGATCCCAACTGTAGAACCTTATTTATTTCGTATTGACATAGGACATTCTCAAGTTGTCTAAAAATGACATAATATTTACAAACTCCAATACCTTCTCGACATGCCCAGTTTCTATCAACCTTACCAAATACCCACATTCTAGTTCATGTCAGCCGCGCAAAAGCTCTCTCCGTTTCAGAAGGGTTATCCTGCCCAGTAGCACCTCTAACCCACGCAAAATAAGCCTCCTTTTCACACGCGTGCTCGCTTAGAACCGCGACGCATACGCCGATCGTCAGCAGGAAGGACCAAGTTAAGCTTTAAGCCGCGTTCCCGACTGGAAAACCAAGCAGCGGCGGCGGCAGCGGGGTGCGCGGAGATCGTTCTTAAGAAATGAATGTTTTGCAAAACGCACGGGCAGATATGGGCCCCGGGGCACAGATCGAAAAGGAAATGAATCCGCCTGCTTCCCGCCTGAACCCAAGAGAGGCCGTGCAGGGCAGCCTCGCGCGGCCAACGGCCGACACCCAGCCCGGGGCAGCCGGCCGCCTTCACCTCGGGGTGGGCGGCCGGGAGCTCTACCTCTCGGTGAAGCTTTTCACCAGCAGCCACACGATGAGCGGCAGGTTCTCGCGCTCGTTGTAGGTGGGCAAAAGTACCGAAAACTTGTCCTCCTGCTGCGCTTGGGGGTCCGGATCCCGACCAGACCGAGGAAGGCTGGGACCCACTTCGACAGACGCCATGACGGACCTGCGCGAGCTGCCGGAAGCGGAATTACGTAACACGCTGCGGGGGGGAAGGGGCGGGGCGCGCCGAGCCGTACCACGTCCAGGAGGAGGGAGGTGGTCTCGTTCTTTCAAGGTTCCCGGTGACACCAGCAAAAATAGTAAGTATCTGTTCATACTTAAAGCAAGATGTTAAGGTAGTTTCGGGAAATACGTCTGAGTGATTTTATTTCGAGCGCCGTACAGTATTTTAGTTTAGTCCGGTCGCTAGGCGACGACAAGCCGGAAGCGGAAGTGCCTTCCACGACAACTTCCGAAAGAGGCCGCCATGGCTGCCAGCGAGCAGGAGGTGCTCGCGTTGAAGGCTGAGCTTGCCCGACGCGAGGAGGAGCTGGACGCCCTGAAGCAGAGGCTGGCGGCCGCGCTCGCGGCGGAGCCGACACCCGAGCCGCAGCGGCCGATGCCGCTGCCGCCGATGCCGCCGCGGGCCGCCCTGTCTCGAGACGAGATTCTGCGCTACAGCCGGCAGCTGGTGCTGCCCGAGCTGGGCGTGCGGGGGCAGCTGCGCTTGGCCGCCGCGTCCGTGCTGGTGGTGGGCTGCGGGGGGCTGGGCTGCCCGCTGGCGCAGTACCTGGCGGCGGCCGGCGTGGGCCGCATCGGCCTGGTGGACTACGACGTGGTGGACATGAGCAACCTGGCGCGCCAGGTGCTGCACGGCGAGGCGCTGGCCGGCCACTCCAAGGCCTTCTCGGCGGCCGCCTCGCTGCGCCGTCTCAACTCGGCGGTGCAGTGCGTGCCCTACGCGCAGGCGCTGACGCCGGCCACGGCGCTGGACCTGGTGCGCCGCTACGACGTGGTGGCCGACTGCTCGGACAACGCGCCCACGCGCTACCTGGTGAGCGACGCGTGCGTGTTGGCCGGCCGGCCGCTGGTGTCGGCCAGCGCCCTGCGCTTCGAGGGCCAGCTCACCGTCTACCACCACGACGGCGGGCCGTGCTACCGCTGCGTCTTCCCGCGGCCGCCGCCGGCCGACACGGTGACCACGTGCGCCGACGGCGGCGTGCTGGGCGCGGTGACCGGCGTGCTGGGCTGCCTGCAGGCGTTGGAGGTGCTCAAGATCGCCGCGGGCCTGGGCCCCTCGTACAGCGGCAGCCTGCTGCTCTTCGACGCCCTGCGGGGCCGCTTCCGCTGCGTCCGGCTGCGGCCGCGGCGGCCCGAGTGTCCGGCGTGCGGCGAGCGGCCCAGCGTTACGGCCCTGCAGGACTACGAGGCCTTCTGCGGCTCAGCCGCCACGGACAAGTGCCGCGCGCTGCGGCTGCTCGGGCCGCACGAGCGCGTGTCCGCCGCGGACTACAAGCGCCTGCTGGACAGAGGCGCCCCGCACCTGCTGCTGGACGTGCGGCCGCAGGTGGAGGTGGACATCTGCCGGCTGCCGCACGCCCTGCACGTGCCGCTCAAGCAGCTGGAACGCCGGGACGCGGCCAGCCTGCAGCGCTTGGCCGAAGCGATCGCGGGCAGCCGGGACGACGCGCTGCCCGTCTACGTGATCTGCAAGCTGGGCAACGACTCGCAGAAGGCCGTGAGGATCCTGCAGGCCTTGACCGCCGACGGGCAGCTGGGGCCCTGCACCGTCCAGGACGTGGCGGGGGGCCTGATGGCCTGGGCGGCCCAGGTGGACGAGAGCTTCCCGCAGTACTGAGACCCGGGCCACCTCCACGTCTAGTTATTAACGCTTTCCAGTCGTGCGAGGCGGCGCGGGGAGCGCACAGTGTCTGTAAACACGCGGGACCCGCTCCAAAGAGGACTGGGTTTTTGAGTGAATTTATCGGATGACTCGCAAGTTCCTGTTTCTGTTGCTGGCAACTCATTGTGTTCAGCGTTTGGAGGGTGCCTTCAAACTCAACTCTTGCAAGGATCAGGGTTTTGTATTTGGAACTGCGCCTCGTTTACTCATCCACGTGCTCCTATCTTCCCTGAAGAGGTCCTGAAACAGCCCTTTTTAAAGCTAGAACTGAAAGTGGATAAACTTCGTCTTACCTGAGTTGTTCCCAGGTGGGAGGACTTGAAGATAAGGGCTGTTTATCTTTACCAAGATGTGATTTTTATTTCAAAGGAGAGACTATTTGCAATTATGATTTTAGAATGTAAATTACCTTGGTTATTTGGCAAGTGTTCAATTAAATATTACGTTCAAGACCCAATTTCTTTCCATCCTTTTCTTTTTGCCTTTCCTAGGTTGATTAAATTGATTACCTTCAAGCAATTTATAGAAGTTTACGTTGAGAATTAGCACTTTCATGAAAGAGCAGGTAGTTTTGCATTGCTTTCGATACATGCAACAGAATTGAAATAGCAGTTCAACATATGAGTCTGCGTATCTGTAACCCTGAAGGGACCACGCTTCAGCAGTCTATTGTGTGCAGGCCCATTGTTAGGACCAGCTCTGATTGGTGTAGACCCTGCAGCCGGGAGTGAGTGCCTGTGTGCTGGGTGCGTGAGTGCTTGCGTTTGTACCTCCATCCTAGCTGCAAGGGAGGCCAGGTGTGGAGTTCTGACTTTTCCAACAGGGAGGCAGGAGACAGATTTTTCATGACTAGTGCAAGAGTATGCCATGCCACTACATTTCCCAAAGTATCAGTTGATTCTGTTTCCCTTGGAGACTTCAGGCCAGTTTGTGGGTACAGTATTACTATGTCTTTCATTAATCTTAACTTTAAAAAAAAACAAACCGAAACACTTTGAAACTGTTTTCCCAACAAAAGACATGTAAGGCTGGTTGAAGCCTCTAGGCTTCAAAAGAGACATAATTGGGGTAATTTAAGTTTGGTGACAAAGGAGCTGAATGTTAGGTGGGGCCCCAAACACCTTTAATAATTTGTTAACACCTGAATTTGCTTTGTATGTTCAGGCTAATCATCATTAAAACATGGAGAAAAGCTTTTTGCACAATCATTTTAATATACTTATTATTACATAAATAGATAGGAGAGGTTTTTTTCATTATTTTGATGAGTTGATTGAACATACTTTCTTAGAAACTGTACCTAAGGATTGGCAGTGACTTTAGTAATGGGCTCGAGCATATTGGAGGTGGTGAGCACAGCCCAGGACAAGGCAAGTTTCAGATCTGTTCATAGGGTCGCTATGAGGCACATTTGACTCAGTCACACTAACAATATTGTAAGATTCTTCTACATTGAATTTCAGCATTGTCACGTTGTTAGTAACTAAGCAGAAGTGGTTTGGTTTTCTTTAACACTTTTCTCAAAAAAGTTATTAATGCACATTCACAAATGATCACAGTATTGTAGCTGAAACACCAGATATTTTGGCAACATCTGGGGCTGAATACACTGGTGTGTTTTCCTGTGGAAGAAAATCACAGCAAGTTCTTGCAGCACATGCAGATAAAGCCATGTGATCTGAAAAACTGTTGGCAGTTGCATAATTTTAGCTGTCAATGCAGTTGCCGTTAACTGATAGCTCTGGACAGAAGCAACTTCATTGCTCCAGAGTCACAGCTCATCTCTGACCTTCCAGGGGTTTTCAGAGACTGTAATCCCATGGAAGGAGAGAACTCATTTTGTTTCCTCAGAGCAGCTGATGGATTCAAACTTCCTGACTTTGGGTTGGAAATATTAGAGGATTAAAAAAGTGAATTACCGTGCAATTTTAGCTTTGTAGATATACATGTAAACTAGGCTTAGAAAGTTGTGTGGTTTTAGGGTTGGGCTGTTTTTTTGTTGTTGTTGTT